TGGGATCTCACCTCTCATCACTGTGGACACTTTCTTCATTCTCTAATATTTGGGGTTGTCATTACGTTGTCGTCATTACTTCGCAATTTTCTTTGCAACTTGTGATAATTTCATAACATTTGTGTGTTATTATTTAACCATTATGCAGCTGTGACTTTTGCACATCTTCGCACTAAAGTGCTTTGCAATTATCGCAGAGCAGGGCCATTAAAATACGTAAATATGTATGCTGTAATAAAAGCGGTTAGCTACTGGGCGACAGGTGGGTTGGTCAATGAACTTCGCTTTTATTACAATAAGCTTTGGCTTGCAAAACTGCTGTATGCAAGGCTTCCAAGGTATATATATATATATATATTTTTAATTCACATGGCAATCAAACTTGAGACTATTTCAGCTGGTTATATAAATAAAGAAAACGTAGTGCTATGAATAACATTTGCAAGTGAGCCGGCAGCGATTTTGCCTGTTTTGAGTCAAAGTTCTAGTTAAATTTTTGGTTGAAAAATCAATTTTCTTTATATGACCATTAGAGTGGTCCAAAAAAATAAAGTCGGAGTTTTAATGCTGGCACACCCTAGGATTGATCTATATCGAAAAAATATACCCCTATTTTTTATTTTTAAATCAAAAAATATTTAGGGAGTGCTCACAGCGTTCAAAGTTGTCCATGTATTTTATATGGAGAAAAAACAATTTTTCGTAGAAATGGTATAAAACTCTTGAAAATCAATATTTTTCGACCGGAAAACTGTGGTTCTCTTCAGAAGACTTCCAATATTAATATCCAATTGTTTATTTAACCATTTTTTATGATTCAAGTTTTTTTATTGGTTTCCCATTGCATTTTCTAAGGGCTTTGGAGGACCTATAAAATATAGTTACCGTGAGAAAATTGTTAAAGATAAAATTGAGTATTATTACTGGGAATCTCCTGAAGATAAGTAAAGTTTTCCGATCGAAAAACATTGATTTTCAAGAATTCTACACTGTTTCTATGAAAAGTAGTTTTTTCTCCATATAAAATACATGGAAAACTTTGAGCGCTTTGAGCACTACCTAAATTATTTTTTATTTCAAAATAAAAAAAAATATGGGTATAGTTTTTTTCGGTATATAACAATCCTAGGGGGTGGCGGCATTAAAACTCCGACCTTATTTTTTTTACATACATTTTTGGACCACTTTAATGACCATAATTGTACTTGTTTTTCATGAAAACAATACTCGACCAGGGATTGTTGTTATCTCTTATACTACTTAATTATGAAAATGGAGAGATATTTGCTTCGGCCATAACTACACTAACCCATCTCTTAATCTCGAGATAGAATTTTCCATAAAAATTTCTTCTAAAAACGATTGAGAATATAACTCAAGCTAGCTCAATAACCATATGCATGATGGCTCTAAACTAGTTCTAAAAGTGGGACGAGTCTTTTACTCGGTCATCCTGGTACTTTTATTTATTCTACAACTTTTTCATTCAAATGATGTATGTATTTCCGAAATATCCGCAATAAACTTGAAGTACAATATTTACTTAGTAAATAACTGTTGTTAACAAGCTGCTATTAGTTTAATCGCTGCTTCTCCTTCATTTTCCGTTAACTTCCTAGTTTAATCACTCATCAATCATTCTCTAAATCAGTGTGCATACAAGTGCTTACCTCTCCCACTCATCTGAGTTCACCTTCGCGGCGCTGCGCCAAAATATTTCAATGGCAAATCACTATTTACTTAAATCAGAACAAAATCCGATAAAAAAAAAAATAAGAAAACAGTGAGGTTAATACCTTGGCCTTAAATGCTTTTATTTCATAGAATTTCAGACATCTGGCGCGTTCAGCGAAAATGTTGATAAACAGCTGCTGTGTGGGCAGCATTAGGATTGGCCGAGAGCCGCTTGGCTAGATGCTATGCTACTTATTCCTAAACATGGTGTTAACTTAATTTTTAGATAATTGAAATTTAAGTGAAGTTAAGCATTCTGATTGGACTAGAAAAAAGAACTAAATTTTATACCTGTATAATTTTTATTCACAAAGACTAAGAAACCATGACTTATAACCCAATTTTTTTGATTTTCTCTTGCATAAGTAAACTACTAAAAGCGTGCTTAAATTGACATTATCATTCTTAGTTGTGGATGTAACTATTAGTTGGTTAATTTTTTTCATAGTTCATTCTACGTAGTCGAATTTGAAATAAAGGGTTTCTCTTTAACTTTTATAATTTATGATTTTTTTTTTTGATTTTATTGCTAATATTTATGTATTTATTCTAATATGTATTTATACATAGCTATATATGGAGCATTCCATACCAAAATGGACGGGGTTCACACTTCATGTATATCATTTGTTTCAAATTTTTAGGGTAGATGTGTGTATGTGTGATTTATTTCAAATTTTTTCCTTACCCCTTTCTCGAGATATTTCTAAAGCTATTAAATCGATTTGTTTTTGTTTTTGTGCTGTAAAGTTTTTACAAATTTATTAATCAAGCTAAAATTTCATATTTATTTATTATTTATGTTTGTCCCTCTACCCTAAGAATTTGAAACAAATCTCGTTCATTTTGCGATGGAACGCCCCATATATGTATATGTAGTATGTATGTGTTTTCCTCTTAATATTATACTCTTTTCATTTTTCGGATAAATACTCTCATTAATGATTCCACAAAACAATGTTCATGAGCAATGCCCAGTTAAGTGGGTTAATAGGGTCAACAGCAATATGTTTGTGTATACATGCATAAGCAAGAAAGAATACTAAAACAAAGCAGTTAGCAGCTGCAAATGTTTTATGTATCTAATTAGAGAATAACAAAAATGAAATGAGTATAAAACAAAATTATTTTTGAAGCTAATTAGTAAAAAATAAAATATTGTATTAGAAAAAATATGAGTTTTGTAGCTAAATAAAATGCCAGACCATACACCATTCATACACTTATTTACGAACAGATACGTAAACTATTTCAAAAGGTTTAGGTAGTCTGGGCTTGATTTATGGAACGCAACCTAATATACATATTGGCCTAAGCAATATATTTTTGTTCAGAAATTTTTTGATATGGCTTATAGGCGGCCAAGTCACCATCAGCTGAAAAGGAAAATACAAAAACAAAATATTTTCGCTTCTGGCTAAGTTGACGTGTTGAGTAATCATTGGCGATTTTTACGTAAGTTAAGTTAATGTCTACAGTAATTCGACCGCATTATAAGCCACCACCAATCAATACAAACATTTCATTTTTGTCTAGCCAGCTGTCTTTTAGTTTTATCTATTTCGACTAAATAACGCTACTCTTCTTCGGGCATGTGTAAAATTTCCTGCTATTTTAATTAAAATTAGAGTTTTAGATCTTATTTTAATTTCTTCTAATTTTTCCATTTCGAGCTCTATTCTCCTAAAGCATTTAGTTGCATTTCTGCATCAAAAATAAAATTTTGAAAAAAAATTGCGCTTACAAATAATCAGTATTTTCTGCTTAAAATAATAAAAAGATAAGTTGTATAAGACATGGGAAAATCACATACTACATACAACAATGGCGTTCTCTTTTCTACCGAAAAATGTTGCCTTCTCAGTACCCTCTTCGCACAAATACTAAGGAGAAGGCAATGAAAAGGCAACATTTTTTGTAGAAAAGTATTAGTATTTGACCAAAGGGGGCAACTAGAAAACAACAGGTTTCGGAAGATAAGGAACGTCATAAAGAAATTTGTTCACTCTGCCTTTTTGATTTCGAAATCTCTGCTCGTAATAGAAAATAAAAGGTACAACATGGCGTATGAGCAATGGTATGTGTAATTTCTTCCTTGTGAAATTTCTATAACACTAATCATTCAAGCTTGTGTACCATTTGTGCAACTCATTTTGTTATTTTAAATTTTCTCTTAAGTGTTGGCGAAGCTTCTATCGCAGTTTATACAGCAGTTCATAATGTCGTCAAACACCACACCCTAATGCCAAATGGGGTTTTGTGAGCAGATGTTGCATGGCTGAGCTTCTTAAAATTTTGGCTCGGAATGCGTGCTCCGTCAACTTCTCTTTGTTTTGAGTTAACAATAAACTACTTGAAATTAGGCTCAGCAGAATTTGAAGAACAAACAAAAACTGCACTGCCTTGACGTATGAGATAATTTCACATCAGCATTTCCAATATTAGCTTTGGATTATTTTCAACTGTATGGTATTTATTTTTAGTTTATAATCAGTTTTAATGGACAAGCAAGTCCCTTGTGAGTGTCGCTCGTATATATCGCTACCTAAATGTGAAAGGGTGCTAAGTCCATTTTATTCGAAATTTAGTTTTTGAATAGCAGGTAATACGAAACTACATAAATTTTTCGTTTCTCCTGAATACTTTAACAAAATGGTCTTGCCACCTTTTGACTCTTAGGTCACGATATATTTTTTAAGTCTAGCGCCCTTGCGATACTCATTCCATCCAAAATACATTGCAAATCAAGAGAAAAGTGTGAATAACTTTCGTCTCGATGCATTCCGGCAAATTTTCTTTTCTGCGAATAGCAGTTAATATAACGTACAACAATACTAGCCCAAAACGCGATTTTAAAGTCATTGAGATGTCAGTAGTATTTAAAAAGACTTTAAAGACTTTTATAAAAAAAAAATACGAACAAATAAAAAATTAAAATGGGAAGAAAACATCACCAGAATCGGTACTACCAATGGCGAGAAAACAAATAAAATCTAAACAATTTCGAAAATAGCTATAACTTCCAAAATAATTCGAATTTCGAAAAATTGTGAAACTTGTATTTTTCTTTTATCGTTGTGAAGATAAACAGATAATTGCACAAAAAACCTCGACCTTCGAAAAATGGTGGCCCACTTCACAAATTTTTACTCAACTGTTATAGAGCGAAAAAAGTATTTTTACAGACCTTTTTGTACATATTTCTCTAGATGATAATAAAGTTTTCCAACTACTAAACCATTTTTTCCGTTATCTTTTCTTTACAGTTCCGGTCGTCGGCAATTGGGCTCAAATGCCTTAGCCAGGTGAGTAACAAAGCATCCAAAGATAGTTAAGTTAATAAAATACCTATAGGGATTGAGAATTAATCGGTGTAAGCAATACACTTTTTGGTATAAAATTACATTGTGAAGAGGATTGTAAAGTCATTAGAGGTCTGTTCGATGAGCATAGCAAAAGGCAGGCTATATGAGTCGCAAAGTTTTTCAAAGCCCCTCATCATTAAAAGGGATAACTCGAGAATCTTTTTAATACCGCTATTCAGGGCATGCTATGCATGCGCAAGCTCGGAGGGAAATCTTTATACCAATCGCAGTCACACCGAGCCATTAAATGCTCTTCTACTGAAGCTTTAGATCGTTGACAGGCATATATGAGCAAATTTTCTTAGAAGTGAATTCAAGTGAAGCGGGGTGTACTAAATCAAATCATATCAGTTGTAGTGCCCTCTTAACCAGACCGATTAGTTTTCACTCCCTTTCAAACAAACAAAAAATTCAAAAAAAAATTTCTTTTATACAAATTAATATTTTGGAAATTAATTTTTTAGATAAATTTCAATTTCAGTTAATAACTTTAGTTTAGAAATTTTATATTATATTATATTAATTTTATATTACCAATTTAACATTTCATTCGCCATCGAAATGTTGCATCAAAATTTGTTGCATTTGTGCATTTTCTCAGTTCCCTACAGCGCTTTTCAAACTACGCGCCACTAAAATTATCGATTGCCAATTGGTTTGGAACCTAAATGCACTACCGGAATAAGTGCACAGTTTGCAAGCCACCATAGTGGCACTTGAAAGTCACTGTGGTGTCGTCTATTGTGAATTTGTAGATGGTTGTTGTCTGTGCTGAATCTACCCCGGCAGAGAACGTATATGCTGAGAACGTATATGAATATACGTTTTCTGATGAAAGTGTTGCTTAAAAATGCTCATTCGAAGTTAGTTTTTAAATATATATTTTATAATTAAAAATTTTATTATTTTAATTATTTAAAATTTGCGTTAACATCATTAGCATTTTAGTTATTTATTCCACACTTACATACATACATAATTTTTTGCATTTACACTGTTTCATTGTTTAGTCAACTTTACAGATCCTCAAGTTTTAATTCCTCTGGACGCAGTTCTAATTGTGATACCACAGAAGACATGTATAGCGACATAAGTTTGGATAATGTGCAGGATTTGAATTATAAGGTAAGTTAAAAATAATTTATAAAAGTTTTGGGTGTACATACATATATGTACATTTAGTGACCAAAACAATCACATATTAAAATTTCATATCTTAAATTTATTTGAAGAAATTAACTAAAATTTTCTGAAAACTCGTGGTGTGAAAAGCTATTTTGAGAGAAAGCACTTGTATATCATTTAGCTAGAGTCGCTGCAACAGGCGTGGTGGGCATTTTGAGAGATCTGTGTTCGAAATCTCGAGCAGGGAATAGTTTTGCTATAATTTATTATTTTTTTTTTTAACTTAATTTTCTTTGAGTTATTTGATTGTATTGTCTTAAATTGAAAAATATATGTTTTTTTTTTAAACTTAATTTTTAGAATCCTATTTCACTAATCTTTTTGCATATTTTAAGACCTTATTGTATATATTTTTTTTAATTTCACAAAAATTTTTCAAAACGTATTTTGTTCTTAGTTTTACAATATAATTTTCTTTTAGTTTTGAGATTTTATTATTTTAAAAAGAAAGATATTTTTTTATTTTATTTAATTTTCAGAATCTTGTTATATTTTTTTCAAACTAAATTCATTTGATTTTTTTAATTAAGTTTTATTTTAATGTTTGGATTTTGATTTAATAAAAAAATAGTTTTTCTTTTTAAATTCATTTAATTTTTATGTACTTTTCTCCCTTTTTTGGTTTAATTTTCTTCCTTTTCTAATTAAATTTCTTTTTATTTTTGGATTATATTGTTTTAAAAGAAAAGTATATTTTATTTCAATTTCATTCCATTTTTAAAAATTATTTTTTGTTTATTTGAATTTGTTTTCGTTTTCTAATTTAATTTTCATTTATTTTTTAAATTTTTATAATTAAAAAAAAAATAATTACATAAGTTTTTTAAATTTAATTAAATTTTTTAAAAAGGTTTTATGCTAAAGGCCCACGTCTTAACGCTAAGACCTCCTTGCTAAGAGATCCTTCAATTATGGCGTTTTAATTTCTACAAAAAAATGTTGCGTAGAGGTTAAAGAGATGATAACTTTTTTCGGTAGAAACGAAAACGCCATTAGTCTTCCAAAAGACAGTAAAGAGCTTTCAATATAGTTGCCAGAATTGACAATTTGGCAACTTGCCAGCAGCGCCGTCTGTGTTGTAGTCCTTAATTAACCGCAAGCTCTTTTCCGTGACCTAGCCTTCAATACTTTATTTACTGCTATTATAAACAAAATGCACCCAGAAAAAGGTTTAGTTATAATAACCAAGATTTGGTTATAGTGATCAAGTGGCATAGTTGGATATGGCGAAATAAATATATAGTTCACGAAAGTCTGCAATTTACTTAAGACTTCTAGTTGGGACAAATGTATATTTGTTAATAATTACAAAACGACTACCTTGATTGGACAATATTGTTAGTTGAGTAAAATCATTGTTGAGCAAATATAAACAATGCTTTGGTTGATACAAGTTTTCAATTAATTTTGTGAACTTGCTGTAGACTTGAATCAGCTAACCGTTTATTATTGGGAAAAAAGTTTCAGTTTGACACAAATAAAAATTTACTCGATGTTTGTTGTGTTTACTTTCTTCTTTTATTTGCATATATTAAGCATAAAAATGTAGAGAGAGAATAAAGAACACGACGGTTTGAGGTTTATGAGTGGACTGACTGTTTAATGTATCAAGAATATGCTTATAAGTATTACAATTATGCGAAGCTGGTAAATAAAGTATAATAAGCTTATGAGTGCATTTTATATGCACATATACAAATTCAAATACATATTTAAATACATAAGTATTTTCAACACCCTCACTTATTGTTTACAAAATTATTATTCATATTTAAAATAAAAATTTTTTTACAATATTTTTGATGTTTTTTTAATGTAATTTGAAGTTAATTTTATACTACAGTTTTTTTTTGGGTTTTAGCAAGATTTTGTTTTACAGTGTATTATACTTTTTGAGTTTGATACTGTCTTTTAACTTTACGATAATGTAATCGATATAAAAAGTATAGAAATTCTATTATTTTTAGAATGCAAATAATCCCTAACATAATCAAGATTTCTTGGTTGTGTATTGGAACAGGTTCACTAATATTGATATTGTTCTGTACTTCTCCATTGTTGTTGGATTTCTGCTGCTCCGATGAAAACCAGCCTCCCATGTTGTATAATATTGGATAACTGTGAGTAAAACAATAATTATTATAAATGTTAATTATTGTCTTATTTTATTATGAGCTTAAGCCCATTTGTTCAGCGCAAAATTTTGTTTTTTCTCTGCTGACTGCTTTTGTTAACGAATCAGCTGCCATTTGTTGAGTGCCAAGAAACTCCAATTTGATTGAACCTTCATCGATTTTTTCACGTATATGGTGATATCTGATATCAATGTGTTTCGTCCTTGGTCTGTATGCTTCGCTCGAGCCTAATTTGATAGTACTTTGGTTGTCACAAAAAACTTTAGTAGTTTTTACCAAGTTTTTATCAACTTCTTTGGCTAACATTTTCATCCATATTATTTCTCGTACTGTTGAAGACAATGCGATGTATTCTGCTTCTGTACTTGATAAAGCAACTATTGGTTGCCGTTTGCTGCACCAACTTATAGCAGCATTGGACATTTTTAATACATAGCCGGAACACGATCTTCTGCCGTCGATTTCTGCTGCCCAATCAGCGTCACTAAATGCTGCCAAGTTGACATCATCAGTTTTTCGATAGCTTAGTTTGAAATCAATTGTGCCTTTTAAATATCGAAATATTCTTTTCACAGCTTGCCAATGCTCATTTGAGTGTTTTAAGTTAAACCGGCTTACATTATTTACTGCAAATGCTATATCCGGTCTAGTTCCTTGTGTTAAATATAAAAGGCTGCCCACAGCTTCTTGGTATGGTATTTTCCCCGTCAGATCATTTTTCTCAGTGATGCATTTTTCAGTAAATTTTTGACTTACTTCACATGGTGTGCCCACTGGCTTACAATCCTGCATACCAAAACGTTCAAGAATTTCATTTATATATGACGATTGATCTAGTGTAATTTCGTCGCAATTTTTGCTCTGCGTGATACGTATTCCAAGACAACTTTGAGCAGATCCCAAATCTTTCATTTTGAATTTTTTGTTAAGGTACTGCATTAGTTTTTCTAGGTTATTACTACCTTTGTAGAGTATAAGGAAATCATCGACGTATATTGCAATTATCAGATTCAATTCTTTATCATAGTAAATGCATGGATCAGTTTTACACCTTTGTAACCCGAATTCTTTTAATGCTGAATCGAGCTTTAAGTTCCACTGTCTTCCGGCTTGTTTCAGTCCGTAAACAGCTTTGTTTAGCTTACATACCTTGTTAGTGCCATCATTGTAACCTTCTGGTTGTTCCATGTATATTGTTTCTTTAAGATCACCTTGAAGAAACGCAGTCACTACATCCATTTGATGGATTTTATAGCCGTTTTTTACTGCTAAAGCCACTAAAAACCTTATTGATGTGTATCTAACCACCGGCGAGAATGTTTCATCATAATCGATGCCGTATTTTTGTGCACAGCCTTTTGCAACAAGTCGTGCTTTATATTTTACAGCTTTACCGACCTCATCTTGTTTTACTTTAAAGACCCATTTTGCTTTTATAGGCTTTCTTCCATCTGGTAGTTTCATCAACGACCAGGTGTTATTTGATCTATGTGATTCCATTTCTTCATTCATTGCATCTTCCCATTCTTTCGCTTTTTCACCGTTTATAGCTTCTGATACTGTTAATGGCTGTGAAAGAAATGCAAAAGCATTAAATTGGAAAGATGGTACAGATACCTTAGCTTTAGATCGTGTGACTCTTCTTTCTTCTTCAGATTCATCAATACTTTGTTCAGGAACATAATCTGGATCATTTTGGGTTTGATTCGGTGCTTCTATCATGGTGTCATCTTCCGCAACACTTTGTACGTCTTCGTTCGATTCATCAGGTTTTATGCTAACTTCTTCAAATGTGTCTTCATCGCTTCTCTTTATTTCCCTCACTTCGTTGTTATAGATATTTAAGGTCGACTTTGGTTGAGGTTTTTCGTAGAATATTACATCTCGACTTATAACCAGTTTCTTTGTTATTGGATCAATACAGCGAAAACCTTTAATGTCGTCATCATAGCCCACGAAAAACATTTTCTTGGATTTAGGATCCCATTTTTTACGTTTTTCTTTGTTTATGTGAACCATTGCTTCACAACCAAACAATTTCAGGTTAGATATGTCTATTTTTTTTTTATAGAATATTTCATCAGGAATTTTTCCATGCGACGAACAAATACTTTTGTTGATTAAGTAGGCTGCCATATTTGTTGCTTCTGCCCAATAACATTTTTGAAGATTTGCATCAAACAGGAGACATTTAGCTTTTTCAATTAAGCTTCGGTTCATTCTTTCGGCAATTCCATTCTGCTGAGGAGTATATGCATTACTTAATTGATGCTTGATACCATTCTCTTTACAGTATTTGTCGAATTCAGTTGAACAATATTCACCACCATTGTCCGTCCGTATTGTTTTGATTTTAGATCCAGTTTGGCGTTCAATGTATGTTTTGAAATTTTTAAAGTTATTGAAAACTTCTGATTTTGACTTGAGAAAGTAAACGAATAATTTTCGGGAGAAATCATCTATGAATGTTAATACATATTTGGCGTGTCCTATAGATTGCGTTTCCATAGGTCCACATAGATCAGAATGTATTAGTTCGAGTAGCTTTGTTGTTTTTGAGTTACTTTGTTTAAACGGAATTCTTGTTTGTTTGCCTTTGGGACATATCTGACAATTTTTTATTTCATGATCGTCGTCATTGAAATCAATACCAGAAACAGCGCCGTCACGCATTTTCTTTAAACTTTGAAAATTTATGTGTCCAAGTCGCCTGTGCCATAGCATTGCGTTGTTATTTGTTTGTTTTGATAACAAGCATTTTGCTTGGATTCCCTTCAGTTTGTAAACACCATTTTCCGCTTTGCA